AAGAATAGCTAATTAGTTAGCAAGCTAAATTAGAAGCAGAAAATACAATATTAACTTTTTTGGAAGAAAAAAACTCTTTCTTTTTCTTCTTGAATAATGCCAACTGAAAATTTTCCTGCCATGTAAAATAAGGAAACCATAAAAACAAACTTGCAGACAACTACTATGTAAATGACATTAAAATATAAATGTATGCATAAAATTAGAAGCTTTAATTCTACTATCAAGCATAGATCAGAGTAGAATGCAATAATGATTAAAAAATTGTAAATGTATGCGCTACTGACCATAACGCTGCCTGCCTTTCATTTAGCAATTGCATTATCTAGCATGGAGTGGACACAAGCACCTCTCTACATACATTGTAAAACCAAATTATAGTAATTTTGAAATAAAACAAATCCACATTGCAAAGACTAATATGCACAAAAGGCAACAAATATTCAAAAGCAAAAATTCCTCGATATTACACAAAATAATTACAGTTATGACCCCATTTTAAAAAATAAATAAATAGCATCATAATAAAGAAAATATTTTATATATGACTATATCTTTTATTTATTAATTTATTCAAACAAATAAAAGAAAAGATATAGGGAAATAGTGCTCAACCCTGAAACACTAGTGAGTAAAAAAAAATTCACAAGCGTTACAAATATTGTAAGAAAATTTGGAATAGGAATTAGAGAAGAATAAAAATAGAGTCATTAAAAGGATTTACATTACCATGTTGTGGAGGAGCAAAAAATGATATGATATCACCATGGAAGACTTTCACAATAGCACCATTCTTTTTCAACTTCTCCTAGTTAAGGTAAGTTCCATTTGTTTTGAACAAAGCTTTAAAAAAAATCAGAATATTAAGGAAAAATAATTGTTTACTTCTGCTTAAGTAGGACAAAGGATGAGGAGACTCAGGCTCAAAGAAAGAATCCACAACCTTGTATCTTTCAAGAATATTGATGTTGTATTCTCCATATTTTCGGTAGTAACTCTCATCCTATATATTCAGCAATGATTTGCACTAACAAAATTTGAATCAATTTGGAATCGCAGATCCTCTACCAATTGCCAAATGCAATGCTCATCCACAGTTAACAAAATATTAGAAATAAATGATAATGCAGACAACTGCTATGTAAATGACATTAAAATATAAAAAAAAAAAAAAAAACTTGCGGTTCAACATTCTTAGTCACAAATCGAAAGTTTTAAGAGTAATTTAAAATGACAAATTTGATATCTCTTATCTTAAAAAAGAAACAAAATATTTCAGCATTAAACTTACATGGAACCAGACCAAAGTACAAAAGATATGTAGAAGTGTTTTTGTTCCTCCTGATTAGGCATTGTATTGAAGAATCACAAGGACCTAGCTATTCATACACATAAAAGAAAGAGAATATGTTTTGTATAATGTTACAATATCTACTCATATATATATATGATTTTTAAAGCTTTCCAAAGGTTCCAACCCGAATTGTGTATATCCCTTTCCAAAACATGTTTATACTTTAGATAAAATAATAATAGTTTGAAGACAGATAAAATGGTGAATATGTTTTGCTTATTTTGGTGCATTACAACAATGGTGAATCTCTTTTACTTGTTCCCGTGCATTACAAATAAAGAACATATATATAACAAATTACACATGGTTAATGTCCATTAATTATTATGAAGTTGCAAGCTGACCTTTAAATCTCTAAGAAAGTTTTTTGCATGTTGTGAACTACAATAAATGAAAGGTCAATACAAGTATGCAACTCTTCACACATTTGTGAGTTTCTCCATCCAAACTCCAACACTTGATGCAACTTCTCCAACCATTAACCTAAATTTTAACACAGAATGCATTCAGAAGAATGAGAAGTGAGATACGGTTAAATGAGATAGTGAAAATAGGAATAATCCTTAAACCACATATATCGCTCACTCCTCCTTCAAAAACTTCTCATCCTTGAAACCGTGAAAAATTTCCAAGTAGTGAGAAATTGAGAAATTTTCAAAACTTCAATTAATAATTACCGGTTGCAAGGATTTAGGTATAGGGAAGACCCTGAAGGCATTGCTATCCTCCATTTTTAGTGTTTTTCTCTTCAAACTTTGAATCCAAAACCCTAGCACCAAAAGAATTAAGTTATATATCATTATTTAAAAATCAAATAAACATTGTAAGGAAATTTAAGTATAAAATCAGCGATAATAGAAGGAAACAAAAAAAACTAACCCAAAAGTTTGAGGGAAGAAGAAACGAAAAAAAAAAAAAAAAAAACCCAAAAGCTTAAGCAAAGAGGGTGAAATAGAACTATGCTTTGATGTTTCTGATATGAGTGCGAAAAAAGGAGTACTTGAATAAAGTTCTATGTGAAAAATATACTATTACATCTTTTTATGACTAACATCTGAAGCAACAAAGTACTCGTTTAAACATAAGAAAATGCAAAAGTTTAAGTAAAAAAGAAGAAATATAAAAAAATCTAAGAATTTTAATAAAAAAAAATAGAGCAGAACATAATATTTTTCTTCAAAAAAAACCTTTTTATATTAAAATAAATATAAAAAGTTTTTTATAATAAAAATTAATTTATAATAAAAATAATTTAAAATTAATTAAACCAATATTTTTATCCACATAGAAAAGGTATACGATACCCGTTTAAATATGTGGGTACCAGATCATGAACCTAACAATTAATTATACGATTCAAAATATTTTTAATCGAATTTCAAATCAATTCAATAATTAATAAATTTTAGTCACAATTTTATTATAACTGTGTTCTACCGTTAATAACTTTTTCTCTCATTTCCTCTCAAAATGTTATCCTTTCTTAATAAAATGACATTACTCTTAACTTTTTTTAACATCTCTCTATTTATCAAGTGAAACCTAAAATAAACTTCTCATTTTAAACATTTCTTCAACATAAAAAAGAAAGCGTAATACCCAACATTTTTCTCTGTTTACTATTTTCACGACACCATTCCTCTGAACATGAAAAACTAAACACCTACATCACATTCTAAAGATCAAGCATGCTTAGAAGTCCAAAAAGTTATGTATGATACTTATCTCTTTTAATTTTAAATATATATTTGATATATATATATAAAAAAACAATATCACATTGACAATTTATTTATATTTAAATAATAAAGTTGTTGACAAAATATCACGTGAAGGTATAAGCCTATCCTTTAGAATGGTTACCATGTCTGAGATAAGACTGATCGTGGAGGTGGCACAATTATGCTATTCCTCATGGTCCTATCCAAATATGATATGGTTGATATAACTCCAAATCGGCTTAATGATCTTTTTAATGTTTTTTTAATAATTATTTATCAAAATAAAATTAAAAACAAATATATTTTCTGTTTGGAGTAAATTTTTGTCACGTCAAATTATGTTTTGTATTTAAGGGATACGAAATTATTTTTTTATTTTATTTTAGAGTTTGTTTTTAATTTTATTTTGATAAATAATTATTAAAAAAATCATTAAGCCCTCCAAATCTAGCCATGGGAACATGGGGAACAACTATTTTGTTGGCAGTATCCTTATTTTTTGTTTTCAAATATGAGCCGAAAAAAGAAGTGAGAAAAGAGATGCTGCGCTTCGCAGGCCCAAAATCTTCCACTGAAAATAAAACTAGGGGATTTGGGTGTAGATGAAGCTGGGTGTGTAATGGTGACTAGTTCCGGTGAAAGCAATTATATTCATAGACAGCCCTTCTCTCTCAATACCAGAAAGTGCAATAATAATAATAATATATTTTTATAAAATAAGAACTAATTACTTATATACACAATCTTACTATATATTAGATAAATTGTTTAAAGAATCAAGGGAAAAAAACAGTAATTAATATGGTGGTCCTTACCAAGTTTGTACATGGCAGTGTTGCGTCACAATTACTAAGATGAATTTGATCCCTCTAACGTGTTGCAATGCATGAAGCACACTAGAAAATAGAAGTTTCCCATGCCCTCAAAGTTAGGAGAATTCGACTCACCAGTGCACAAGTACCATACCAGAGAAAGAGTACAATAGTACAATATGTAATTGCCATTTGGTACTCAATGGAAGTAGCTTACTGATCTTTAAATTATTAAATTAAAAAAATAAAGAGATATATTGTATGATTTTTTTTTAAATTTAATAAATTATATAAATTTAGAAATATTTTTATTATGTATAATAAATACTTTATTGTATTAAATAAATAAATTTACAAAAATTAAAAATTGTCTTAAAAAATCTTTTGATGCTTAAACTACAAATTTTATTATTTTTAAATGTTTTACTGTGTAGCGAGACACATTAAAAAAGTCATCATACAAATAGAAAATGCCTTTAGATAAACTTTATTTATAATGTTAAATTTTTATAACTATTTTAGATTAGTTTACCAACGAAGTCCAATACACTTGATAGATAGTTGAGATAAGGGTTCAATTCTTGACTATATGTATAGAAAAGATTTTTTTCAGGAGAAGCTATACTCATTTGGTTGATCTTTTTACCTTGGAAAAAATAGTCATAAGCTACTGGTTAGGGCATATCTTTGACGTGAACAAAAAAAATTCTGAACTAATTTACTTTTAAACACACAAAATATAAACACTTGAATAGTATCACTGCCCATTTGATACCCTCCATTTTTCTGTCTCTCTTTCTATCATGTTATATCTTATTGCTTTCTCTCCTCTATTTTTACCTCTTAATGCTTAAACACCTTCAAAAACATTTATAAATAATAAAAAAGCAGCTTGTATAAATTTTAAATCACTATACGTACACAATAAATCATGTTTCAAAGCAAAGGGCTTGATATTGCTAGGATAGGATCACAGGCTCCTAATTAAAGTTCTACTCATGAAATAGTAATCATGTTCGGTGGGTGAAAACCACTTTTATTTGGACTAAGCACTAAATCAAAGATAAAATAAGAACGAATAGTTGGATACATGATTTCAGATTTTTCATATAAGAGAAATTAAGACTATAATGAGAACTAAGAAAGGAATTCTTTCCTTACAAGTCCAATAGGTAGAAAATAAAACAATTTAACGGGAGTAGTGAAACTCAAGTCTAGCTTCACACTTCCAGTAGCTAGAGTTCCCGCGATTAATTTTGAACGCTCATCAAGCAAGATTGGCTCCTATAAAAAAATTATAACTCCATTTCTCCAACGATTATTTAATATCCAAATGGATTTGGACTTATGATGAGTATTATGCCTAACGAAACTCATCATATGTCAAACTCTTACAAACCAAGATTGAGCAAAGGCTTGTCTAACGTAGCTTTTGTTCAAACTAACGAAACCATGGTTTGGAGCTTCCTAACGGAAATCCAAAGATGCTGATAATATTAATCAGCAAATCACATGATTTTGTCTGTTCACACGAAAGCTTGTGCAAGATCATGGCTTGTTCGGGTCACTCTCAATTTCCTTAGCCAATTCTCTTGTCAGCTTATCAGCACGATCATCATGTCCACCAGCAAATGTATAGACCCGAAATGCGAATTGGAAAGCCCTCCAAAGCAACTTAGCATATTCTTTTCTTTTTACATCACTAATAGCATCATTGCGCCTCTCCTGCATTGAGTTTATGCAAATGCAAATAAAGTCAATCCTTCTAAATGATACTAAGGTGGTTTGATCAAAAGTGTTTGTGTTACCTTTAGTGCTAACTCCATACAATTGGAGGAAACATCCACCATTGCTTCTTTGATTTTTATAAGGATGTCGAAGTTGAATTCAATGTTGTGGCCTTCAAATTTCTTTGATTCTTCATCTTTGGTTCGCTCCAAAGCATCTAATTCTGTTTTTATCTGTATGTTGATCTTAGGGGTTATAAATGAATGTACAATTGTAAATGCATACATATAAGAAAACAGGCATCATTAAGCGGATAATAAATTTGAAGATTTTGAATCACCTTACTGAAATAACGTTCAATTTTTTCAAGGAGTTGGCCCACAGGAGTCACTATATTCCAATTTTGAAGCTCAGTAAGTATTGAATCCAACCTATGGTAGAGTGCTGCTGCCATTCTTATGGCCTCTAACTTCTTCGAGGGGAAACCTTCGAACCGGGATAGCACCTATACAGCAATAGAATTTTTGTGTCATGATATTGAAAGAACTAAAATATAATAGATGGTATTGCAATAATTCAAATGGACTCGAATCAAGTTTCTAAAAAATTTTACCTGTGATTCATCAGTTAGATTCTCAAGAACAGATTCAACATCCTCGTGGAACTTGATCAATTCTGTCATTTCGTTTGTCTTGAAATTGGTAATAGCAAATCTCAGTTCTATAATATGTTTTGTGTACCTTTGAACATCTTCTTCTATTCGTTGAAAGTAAGATGATCTAGTAAAAGAAATCAAGGAAATAAAACATAATAACATGAAGTTGTGAGACATTTGGTTTCAAGAGACTTAAGAGCTAACTAATTAACCAAAAGCATACCTTTTTGTCATCTCTGCTAGAGCATCAGCCATTCCTTGTTTTCCTCCAGTGTTTCCTGCTCTAATTTCGCTGCTTCTCCCGCTGGATGATTTACCTTTGAGGCTAGATCCTTCCACTTTTCCCTTGAGAGTTCGATACAGATTGCCTAATTGTGTTGACCTTTTCAGTTTGGTAGTTGCCTTAGGCCGCAAGGATCTCCCTACTCCAGGTGGAGGTGGTGGTGGAGCAGTAGCTGCGTTTTCACGTGGTGTTGGTGGTGGAGGTGCTGGAACTGATCCACCTTTGAAGGGCACTGGTGGGGGAGGTGGTGATGGACTTGAGCCCAAAGGCAATGGTGCCACAGGTGGTGTTAGCACTGGTAATGGGACAGTGTGTAGTGTGGGAAGGGGTGGAGGTGGAGGGGGAGGTGGAGGTGGTGGAGTTGGTATTAATGGGGGTGAAGGTGATGATGCTGCTGATCCTAGTGCTTTCTGCTGCAGGCTAGGCGTTTCTAATGGTTTGGGAGATAGTGATATTTCCACTTCACCCATTGCTTGAGGTTTATTATATGTTATTCCATGATCCCTTCTGGTCCTATCTGATAATGATTCCCCAGTTGTGTCCAAGTCAAAAACTACATCTTGTGATGTGTCCTTTACAGGATATCTAGATTTGTGATCCATTTCCATGCTTAAGGTTGGTTCCTTCTCTATCTTATTGTTATAGTTTTGCATGTGTGCTGGTGACATATGGAAAGATAAGTGCTTTAAATCAATTGGGTTCAGCTTTCCCACAGCTTGAATTCTGAGAGACGAAAGTGGGGAGGTGGTAATTGAAGATCTTTGGTTCATTGGTTCTGGAAGGACAGATTTCGGTGTGAGAGGGGAACATTTGCTATCTGGAAAGGAGGAGTTGGATATATCTGCTCCAAAGGAGCTATGTGTTGGGCTAAATTCTTTTTTTGGGTCATCTTCTTCCATTATATCAAACTTCTCACTTGCAATATCAATCAAACAATCAAGTGTCGCCAACATAGTTTCACCTGCAAAACAAATTAAATAACAGTTAACTCATTCTATAAAAAAAAACAAATAAGTTAATTGATAGAATTTCTAAAATCTGATTATTTATTTGATTAGTAAAATGAGATTATTAATCGCATACCCAGTTGCGGCATTTTGATGTTATCTTTACAAGATGGTAACTCATAATTGTGTTTTTCCACACCATCATTGTTCATCATCCAAAACTCTCCAAGAGACTTTAAAGCCTCACAGAAGTAGGCCAGACCCTAGCAGAAAACTTGCTACATTTAGTATTTCAGGATACAAATTTCTGGGGTAATCATAATTAGGACAGTTTTGAGTGCGACATGTCGAAACCTGATCTATAGACTTGGCCTTAATATCTGACATTCTTTGTCTTGATATGATCCCCGGGTAAAGTCTTTGCATATCTTCCAGGGTTGTAATAACCATCTGCAACATGACATGAAAAACAAAGATTAAAAGGAGGCAAAGACAATTATTTTATTTAATAGAAAGGAGTCATAAAGTACCTCATGTAAGGAAGCAGAACTATTAAGAGGGGCAAGGTCCATGATGTCCCTGAAGACAAATATCTTCTTATAGACCTTCATCATTAAAATCAATTGGTCCGCACCAACAAATGACCATTCAATTGACTCTCCCTTCCCTTCATTCAGAACCTTAGAAGGCTTATTAGGCATGGTTGAGCTTTTCATTGGCTGCACATATGATTAACTTTGAGAAAGTTGCCTGTATATAAAATCTGAAATATTTCGGTGCATCATGTACACCATATACCCCTTCCAAAACGGTTACATAAGCCATTAATTTTTCTAATATTTTATCTGGTAAAGGTTCTCTAAATGTTTTTACTGATTAGATCTTTCTAAAGAAAATTTGATGAATTAATGAAAAGTATAATGACAACACATATTTCCAATATTAAGTGAAATTGAAGCATGGACATACCATGTCGAGAAAAATAACAATGTCAAAACACACGAAATTGCTTTGTCAAAAGGATTTAGAGTGTCTTCAATTGCTTGAATTGCAACCTCGGGTTCATATAGATGTTGAAACAAGAAAGGTCAGAATCTTACCTCCCAAGCACATGACTTTCGTCCAAAGAGCATTGGCTTCAAACCGCATAATCTCACAGTAGACATAATTGATTTGCTTATATTGACTTGATACTATGGAATAAAAGAAAATTTCTGATGTGCCAACCACAACTTCATAAAACACGTATAAGCATGCTGAAATGTTCAGCTCAAAGTGAAACCCACAAAAGATATTAAAATTTAAAAGACAAAAGTCTATACAATAATTTACAAGAGAATTCAAGCCTTTGGAGAAACTAAAAGAAATTCAGAAATGAATATTCAAATTGGGATGATGATAGAAAATTCAAGACATGCATGCAATTAGGGAGGTAGACCTTATGGTGGGGCAACAAAATAAATTATGTGGATTGCAATGGAAATTTCGCAAGAGAGAGCTGATAGGAATTGAGAACAACTAATTATGGAGAACTTCTGTAGTTTTATTACACCACTCACTCTCCATATATTATAAGGTGATATATTATAAGGTGTATTTATAACAAAATGAATAAATGATGTTAAATAATAAAATAACTTATTATGTTTAGCTCTAAAACAGAATTGATAACAGTGCAGAGTGTATGCATGTGTTGTAACTAATTTTCTATAACATGTTGCGGAGGAAGAGCTCGTCGCTAACAATAAGAGAATATTGAACAACTTCTTCCCTTTGAGATGCGGTTGCTTGAAGGACATGTCTCTAAAGATTTTCTATATTTAATTAACTTAATTTTATGTTCAGTTCACTTCTAACAAACTACTTAACGTTACATAAAGTTGCCGAATTTAGCAAACTACGCCACTCTCTCTTATTCTTCATGTAGTTCAAACTTATTGTGAACTACTGCTTACCACCTTTACTTTTGTATATAGGATTTATTTATTTAATCGCTTCACAAGAAGTAATAAATTTAATTTTTCTAATAATATTAAATTATTTATAATTTATATTTTTTATATTATTGAAAATTCATGCTCTTGACTTCTTTATATAATTAATTAACACATTTCTACTTAAAGAACATTTTGTAAAAAAAATAATACAGTAGAAATTTTTTAAAATATTATAAAATGATCAAGCCTCAACTAATCGTAATCCAATGTCTAAAAATTTTCCAGTAACTAAAAATAACAATTGCAATTGGGTTCAAATTCAAGCCTGAATTAATAATAATCCAATGATAAATTCTTATTGAAAAAATGGACAGTTTACCTTCCTCTCCAGTGCAATGGAGATCACCAGATTAGGCGGTGAGCCTTCATGATCATCAATTGACCCAATTGTTTATTTAATCTGTCCCCACATGTATCGATGTGGGACTAGGGATACAAACTTGTTTAAAGTAAGTTTCTCATATTCTTATTACCTCCTTGAATTGTTGAATCTCTGGCAATTCATCTCCATATCCATTAACAGGGAAGCGCTCTTCTTCTCAAAGCAGCTTGAATCAGGAGAGAAGCTTTGGACGTGTAAGTTTGGGTTCTTCCAATTTGTAGTATTTTTTATCAATCCTTTCTTCTTTTCTCTTTTACCCATTAAACATTTTCCTCTAAACTTCTAAACATAGCCTTCGTGGCAATATAAACCAACAACGAAATCAAAAGAGAAAAACAATTAACAGTTCTTAACATAACAATAAAGCTATAATAGTTTCATAAGTTACATCAGAGAAACAAAGAATGCTAGCATATATAAAGCCACACAACCTATTCAAGTTCAACCTTTATTTTTATGCAACAAAACTTTTGACAACTTATTTTCACCTACAACTTTCAACCTGAATTTGGCACTGGCCATTCTTCTTGAGGATAAAGAATGTATCGATATACAACCGTGAAACAAAAGAATATATTTGAAGTCTGAATACATCCAATGACTTACACTTTATATAAAACAAAACAATTCATTTCACTTTAATCAACGGTTATTTAAATACACTTTACCATGTAGAATCACCGTGTATTGTATCTTATAATAGCTGCGCCTGCATCCACATAGAACTCACAAGTCTTGCTAAATTCCCCTTACCTTCACAGAACTGATTCTGTTTACTGGTTGAGTCTTATTCTTGTCACTTTTAGCAGAGATCCTTGCTGTTTTACCTTCAATTTGGTCTTTCCTGGGCACAGCTCGAGCAAGACCAGAGGATGCAGTTCTTTCAGCAATTCTCCTCTGGCGTTCACTTGCCAACTCTTCCATCTTCTTCCTAATCTCATCTTCCTGTTTACCATCATCATACATGTCATTAAGAGTTATGACCTACCACTGTAGGTGCACAATGCATCTTCAAGATATAACAGCACGACTAAAAATTGAAAATTCACTATACCTGTTCCCTTTTGCTCTTGTGAACTATAGGCCTACTTGGTAGTGATGGCTTTCTGGTCCTAGACATGATTTCAGACTTGCCCCTTCCAAAGGATCCACGCAAGGCCTTTGATTTTTCTTCTTTTTCACAACTTCTTGTTCCTGAAACTTTGCTTTTGGTCACATTGGTTTTCTTAGGACTAACAGGAAGGTTGTTATTCACATTGTCATGTGCATCATCAATAGAGGATATTCTTTCAGTTCCTGAGAAAGAGAAGTCAATTTCATAGTCCATTGTCCGTGAGGCCTCTACAAAATCCAATCCAGAATCGCGTTGTAGAACTACAAAGAGATCATTTGGCTCCTGGTTCTTTGATAATGCATGTTTCTCATTAAAAGCAGCTGTGTGACTTTCAAGCTTGTTGGCAGCAGTTAGATCTGCAACCATACTTATGTCCGTCTTCCATTGTGAATCAGAAAGATTGTTATCTACCAATTGACCCTGTATCATGAAGGAATCATCAATGAGAGTTCCTTCATTTCTTTTGTCAGCATGGGAGCAACCATGTACTGATGCTAAAGTGTAATCACCATCAAACATTGTAGGCACAATTGGAGGGCTCCTCGTCTTTTCCAAATTATCAACAATAAACCAATCTTCTGATGATCTGCCCTTTGTTTCCAATGAATCAGCAACAAAAGTAGATAAAGGATCACCAAGTTCATTAACTAGTTCTTTTGATCTAAGTGATAACAGCATTTCTTCACCCATATTATCCCTGCTCTTTGTAACTGGACCACAGTTGTCTACATACTCATCCATCTTGTATCTGTCTTCATTTCGGCCATCTCTATGAGTCACAATAAAAGAGTCATTCTGAACTTTAGGATTCTTCAGAACTTTGAAATTCAAGTTTGGAGATGAACTAGCATCATATGGCATTTTTATTTCAGATTTTCTCACCACAAAATGTTCATCCTGGACATCAATTGGCCGCATCATTTCTGGTCCATCAGTTGCAGTCCCCTCATCTATCTTTAAAAGGTTCTGGAATGCATCCCAGTTGTCATTTTTATTTCCTCCTTCCGATGTATCACTCAAGTTTTCAGGGAGATCCTCATCAGTTGTTTCACTAGATTTAGTTATGTTGCCCCGGGCCACTGCTTTTTTTCCATTAGCACGTTTTTCAACTTTGTGGACCTTCTGCAAAGATTCAAGTGCTACACCAACCTTCTGTTTAATGGTTTCTTCATCAATGACATAATCATCTTCTAATGATTCATCAGAGACTCCACTGTCATTTCCATTTCTCCTTTTTGGAGTGATGTAGTTGATGTTACGAATCACAACTGTTCCTGATGACTTTCTTCTGTGCTTTTTCCTCTTCACATCATCCTTGGACGAATGATTGGAGTCCTTCTGTTCATCTGAATCAGATTCACTCCTAGAATCAGGGTCACTGGACTCTGTCTGCTGGTCTTCATATTCTCCTGGTCCTTTCTTATAAAGAGATTTTTCCTTTTTGGTTGCTGAAGGTTTCTGATTCACTCCCAGGTCAGAAGACCATTGCATATTTCTTAGAATGTAAGGAGGAACAGGCTGCATATTGTTCAAAGGATATCCTTGGTATGAAGGCATTTGTGGAATAGGATTCTGAAGATTATACATATATGGAGGTATGTTGTATGGCCAGGGCATTGGCATATGAGCATTTGCTGCATGAGAAGGGTTCTGATCTGGTGTAGACAAGTTTGCCTCTGCACATCACATGCCTTGATATTAAATAACCATTGAAAAGCTTATAAAAGCAAACACTGATAAATATACTCTCTTTAATACGACGTAGTAATATTAAATCCAACAGACATCATTATGCTGCAAGACCACAATCATTAAATTTTGATGTTTTTAGTGAATGAAGAGTTGCATCCAAACTTAGAGCATTCTTTCAGTCAACTAGAGTTTAAGAATATAAAAACACATTAATTGGCAATCATCTAACAGCTTAAACATTAAAATGAAAGCAGTGCCTTCACATTAACTAAATACTGAACAGCAAGGCTAGCAAGTCTTACATATGTTAAGAATTTTTCTGATTTCAATCACCCTAGACTTGAAAATCTACAAAATTATTCTCATCATTTATTTTCTTTGTCCTCTTTCTTCCCATTTTTTTATATCCCTCACATTAACAGATTTGAGTCTTTCAAGCAATTATTTAGCCATTTAACAGGTTGATTTAGGCTAAAATTGTAGATAGTGGATCAAAGCACAATTTGCAGATGAAAATAAAGAAATAGAAATACAAAACTAAATATGTTTCTTGCTTAACCCATGAAAAGATAACAAACAAGAAAAAAGAAGCATAGAATAGCATACATTGGTTAGTTGAATTGTTTATAATAATTTTCAAATATAAAATTCAGAGGTTTGATCAGAATAAGTTAAAGGAAAAAGAGGAAAAGGGTAAAATAATACCTTCTTTTTGGTTTAAAGTAGCAGAATTTGATGTTTCCAGAAATATGTTTTCATCACTAGAAGGAATACTGTCCTTAGAGCTATTACTTTTGTTGCTCTGATCATGGGTGGTTATATCATTTGCTAGTATAATTCCTGATGTTCCACACAATGAGAGTGCTTGCGGTAAACTTGACTGCATAGCAGCTACTTCTTTTATCCAAAGATCATCTGCATGCTTTTTCTTCCATAATTCCTTAAAATTAATGCAGGCTTCCCTACGTACATTGAATGTCAAGAGTTAGATTGGTTTAAAAACTGAAGTTTTTATGTCAACGAGGCAACATCCACAAAGCCACAACTACAAGATACAAGTTTTAGAATGACGCAGCAGATATCACTGTAAGAAGCAATTATGTTGTATGGAAGTTTCCTCCTAATCTGATACGCCAACGTAGGGTGTAGGCCATTAGTAAGCTTGACACCAGGATGACATTCAGAGTTCAAAGGAAACTACAAAATTCACATGAATAGGTTTTCAATTCTCAATGATCCTTAGAAGAAAAAAAGGAATGAGAGAACTGACATCAGAAGGTTGTTGAACCTCCATAGCAAAAAGAGGGATCCCCTTAGACAAGAGAAATTTCACGATCTACAAAGTAGGGTCAATTGTCAAAATAATTTTAAGTCAGGAGAAGCAAGGGAAAGTTTTTTATTTTTGAGGAAAATAAATTTACTTTCTAAAAAGGGAAGAAAGAATAAGCATATAAGAATCATATTTTTTTATGTAAATTTGCAGTCTTTCTGGTCAAATTATATTGACATTATAAGTAAGAATTGACTAATTTTCATTTTACAATTTACAAGTATGAACTTGCAAACTGTATCTTTCCAGTTCATACCTTAAACGCACTGCTCCAAATGTATTTGCAAAGTATATGAGATCATCAATACTGTCAATTTCAAATCCAGCAACTAGGCCACGTGTATAAGCCATTGCTTGCTCTTTCCGTAATAGTGCTATCCGAGACTCCAACAAACGTTGCAGGGAAATCCTTATCATTACAGCAACTGAAAGTGTTAGTAATAGTGTTTAATGAACTAGCCAAAGAAAATGGATTACATTTCAGCAACAGCAATCAGTGAAGGGGTAGAAAGGTACTTTGAGTTTTCCTCTTCTTTATTGTCCACACCTTCAACTTCATCATTTAACTGAAGCAAACATAAAATGTAAATAAAAAAATGAGAGCTCATTTAGTTATAGTGACTTTTTAAAAGAAATTAAATATACCTTTGTAGAATCACTTAACCTCCTTGTGTTGCCATTGGTTTGTGGTGTGGTTCCTAATACACAACAGAATTTTATTAGAAAACTAGCTTCACTTAAAAAAACCCTAGATTATTTGAAGGAATATCATACACAATACTACTACATTTATTCGTAGGCAACAAGCAGTAATAAGCATTCTTTGTTGGAATTAAATTCTAGCACCTAACAGTAAGCAATTCATACAGAAATATCCACAAAACATGATTAAGTTGTAGGTCCTAACAATACCTTCATCCGAATTTGCAATGGAGATTGATAATGCATTAGCTTGATATGAACTTTCAATCTGAAGAATTTCTTTTTCAATGCTCACAAACCTCTCCAGAATGGCTGGTGTGCTGACAAAGCGCACAAATCTTCAAAATACCCCCTCCCCCCCACCCCAAAAAAAAAAAAAAAACAAAACAAAACAAAAAAGAGAGAGAAGACAAAATCAGCTTCATAAAATCTTAAGTTGGATGACCGGGTAAAAATACAGATGAGCCAAGTATTTTTTATCATTTTCACTTATTCCTTCCTCATTTCTCACCTATACCTGGATCCTATCAAACCCCTACCTGTTAGACCATGCAAACTAAATCCATGATTAAATCATGAGTAATCATTCAAAAGCTGGAATTTATTAATCAATCCGTTGGTTTGACACTACTATGTAATTTCATTAAAGAAATTTAAGGGCCGTGAAAAAATTATTAGTAGAGAAAAAAGTGAACCTCCAAAGCAAAGCAATGTATTTGTAGGACTATTTCTCAAATAAGTGTTACCGCACATCCCAAGACATGATCGAAAAGAAAAGACATCGCCTCATTTGCAGTGAAGAGGTATCTCTGATAGCAATCTGAGCAGAAAAATGGTTACCCCTCTTACTAATTATGTGAAAAAGTTCAAAATTCTTTAGAAACCATTCCCATTAAACGCATCATGGTCTTTCATCATCGCGGCTATAGATACAGAAGCTCTATAAATTGGATTGGAAACATGAAAGAATGTTGTTGAAATAAAAGAACAAAAAGAAAAAGTCAAAATTGGCAGAAGTAACTATACACCAAGTGGGAATCACCTCTCAAACGTGGCCTTGGAGAACCAGAATGCACCGTTTGTGGGAGGCAGAAGCTTAATCGAGTATCCACCTTTGGAGATCTCATCCTTCACAAACTTGAGATGAGAAATAAAAGGTTGAAACAACCCAGAAGCTATTTTCTGATGAACACCTCCACAAAAGACTAACAACTCAAATCTGCAAAATTATCAACCAAAGATAAAAAAAGCATAAATTTTTTAGTGTCTAACAATGAAATCACAGCATAGAGCAATCTGGGGTGGTGTAAGTGTAAGTGTAAGTCACCTGGTCCTGGTTGGAGTGAGTTGAAACAGAGCATAATCAAGAATTGCCTTGGAATCCATGCCAATTCAATTGCCAAGCAGAATGTCAGAGCATAATCTTGACAAGAGCGAGATTGTATGTAAGTTAATGCTTGGTGTTGGTGAAGTGAACAAGAACAACGTTAATTTTGTTGCGGTGAAGTAACTGAATGGGTCATGTTATGTGAGAGAGAGGCTAAGCCAGCAGGGACATGCAGCATCGCACATGGAGTGTGAAGTGGGGCATTATTATTATAGGATTTCAACGCCCTGGCCACATGCAATAGCGACAGCTTCTGCTTTGTCATGCGTATCCAACACCTTCCCCTTGTTTATGTGCAATTGCAAACTAATCTTTACTCAAAAAATAGAGGTAAAATGTTAAGGGGTAAGCTTTTGTGTTAATGAAGGCAAGTGAAAGAGTGTCATTATAGGTTACTTTTGCTTATCACTTTCTTCGGCCTTCAAAATTTCTGAGACAAATCCACAGGCAAGTTTCCAAAAGGCTACCATTTGATAAAAGATATTATTGGAAGATATCCCTTCCAAAGGAGGATCATTAATTATTTTATATGTATGGGGTTGGAGAAAGAATATGTTCATTGAAGGAGTATAGTATATGATTAATGGGTTATCTTATTCAAATTTAAAATCCATTTCTCCCTTCAATCATTGGGGTTAGCATTATGATTTAAGGGGACAGCTGATACAGTTGCGATTAAGATATGCTTGATGAGCTAATAAATGAGACGCTTACCAAAGGACCATTGAGAGTAATGGACAACTTTTCATCTTTTCTTGTGAGGAATAGGAAAAAAAAAAAGAAAAAACAAAAATTGAGATATTTTCTACGTAATTCCGTTCTTTGTACTTTATACTTTCTTATTATTTAAATATATGTAAAATCATAAGATATACCAATTGTTTCCAATTAGGAGTAATTGATCAATTGATCATATATTTACTCTTTTGAAGCTTTTATTAAGGAAAAAATTAATAGTTTGTTTTATTTTTGTGATAGAGTGATGCAAAGTGTCTGTTGTTATTACCCGATCATTTCGTATTATATCTTTTATACAGTGAATGTAATTATTGCAGTATCAATTATGGATATTTGGCTTGTTCCCTATCTTACATTTGTGAATAAATACAGAATTTGAGTTTGAATTCAATAATTTCTTATTAATGAGTCGCTGGTTTGATTTAATTTTAAAATTTAAATATTCTCTTCTTACTTACTTTAAAAATTCTATTATAATATAGTTATATTTGTTAAAAATTACCTACAAGATGAAGTATATGCCCTGAGAAAAAATATATTAGTATAGGAAGTTGATTGAAGTAACAAGTAATTCGATATTGTTTAAATAAGATATTAAATTCAAGTTTTTATATATGTAAAAAATTTCTACAGTAATAGATTTATTCATTATATGCAGATGTTCAATTTATGTTATATTTAAATAAAATGTATAATTTTGGATATGTATATAGTTAAGTTAAAAATTTTAAAATAAAAAATAAAATTAAGTAATAATTTGAAATATATTTTAAAATAAACTATATTAATATAAAATATTATCACGTCATATCAAAATATGATATCTAAGTTATAGTTACAATTTATATATAGCTAAATAATTATTAATTCTTAAAATATTAAATAACATTGTATGACATAAAACCCAATTTGAATTGTAACTCAATTCCAATAGAAAATACAATGAATTTTATTTTCATAACCAAATTCCAAACAAAGCAATTTTGTATTATTTGATTGTTGGGGAAAAAAAAATCTTTACTATTGGGAGTATTACTCCACAGAATATGAAAAGTGCATGAAAAAGAGTAAAGTCGTGAGTGTATAAGATGATTTTGTTGAATAAAATACAGAGGTGGATCTGAAGCCAACTATCAAACAGCTGTATTGGTCACTTTAGCTGGAAAAAAGCAACGCTGTGCATGTGTGGGGTTCATTGAGTTGTGCGATTGACAATGAACATGAACAGCTTCTAAAAGAAGACGACAAAATATCTTATGCAAGTTGACGATGCCGTTGATTCAATTGTAATGCCCAAAATATCTTTCCTAAAGACTTATTTTCATAGGGATAGGGTTATTGAAAGCTGCACTTATTGTATCAAACAAAATGTGCAAAACACAATTTTCGCTTTATTAATTCCAACAATTGACACCCTTGGATTTCAAGGAATAAAATTATAATGCCTGCTTTTAATACAAAATACTTGGCGTATATTCCAGAAAATTATACTCACAAATGAAAGGAAATCAGTAAAATGACAATAAAAAAAGTCCCCATGTAATTTTTAAAATGTAATAAGGCTTACAGTGAGAAGATGTTCCCTTCATTGAAGATGAATCACCAATTTTTATTAATATTATGTAATAAAATTCTAGGTTTCTAACAAACAAAAATTTGAACCTTAAAATCAAAATCATGTAATTGTCACGAGTATAGAACAGATAGTCAAAAAGATTTACCAATCGCATTAACTGTAATTACTTTTAACTATCAGTAGGGACCTTTTTTTTTATTTATTTATCAAACAACAATTAGCCAGTATGGGCTTAAATTGTTATTCATGTCTGATAATTAATGCAACGGACATAAACTCAATCCATTTAACAACTGAAACGGGCTTTGTTTAAACTGACATGGGCTTTAATTTTTCAAATTATCCACTTAGTTATTGTTGATCTGTAAATAGCAATCACATGGGCCTTATAACTGGGACTGTGAAAGAGTCCATTTAAAAGCTGGAAACAACGTTGATTAAGAAAAAAAAAAAACTGGAAACAACGTGGACCAAAAACAAAAAACAGCACTGGAAGCTATTATGATCTTTTCAAAAATGGCATTCAAGGAATTTTAATTGCAACGACCAAAAATATGAAGTTAATTGCCGTTGACCCAAACAAAAAACGAAGTTAATTGCTCATCGCCAGAATTAAGCGTCTTCAGTTTGATAAAATCACTCGTGTAAAGATAGAAGTGAAAGAATTGTGTTAAGCTATGTCAGCTGTCTTCAAGCTTTTTGGGTTTAATTTTATCTTCTTTAATCAATAATTATGATTAGTAATTATAATTTTTATAATAGTTGACTCTTTTTTTATGTATTATCAATATAAATTTTTTATATAGTATCAACTAATTAAAAAACACAATAAATAATTTTTATATTGGGATGAAATTAAAAAGTTTAAATCTGATACATAAACCAAAATTAGATTTTAATTGTTTTATTTACTTTATTCTTATATTTCATGTATACTTGTTTGAAATTTACTGGGATTTTTTTACTAGATCTTATGTTTACACCAACACAATAAAATTTACTATTATTTCTGTATTTTGAGATGATTATTTGGATAATAATAGAAACTCTCTTTGCTGCCCTATCATTTTGTTTGGTCTATAGTTTTTCCCAACACCTTTAAAAATAAAAAAGTAACCTTTGCATATATTAGTTAGTAATTACTTGTTAGATGTTAGTTAGTATATTCAATTAGTTTAAACCTTAAAACTTCTCTTAACTTCTTTCTATATATACATGTGTTACTAATTATTCTCAATTTAATAAAATATTTTATTTATTTTACTGTATCTACTTTAATATGGTATCAATAAAAAAATATTCAACTTTTATTTCTCTCTCTCTCTCAACTTTTTTCTTTTTCATTTTCTTTATTTTTCTCATAGCTTACATAATAGTCATTAATAATCTTCATAGTCTATAAACTTTTTTATTATTCAGCTAACTTCAGTTTAATCTTGGTTTCTTAACTATTAATAGTAACAATTATAGCTCTTAGAGTTGCTCTATGAAACTAACACTCAATGCAAAGAACAAATATGACTTTTTTAATAGGTTCATTTCAAAACTCGATGACACTGATCCTCAGCCTTTTTTTTATAGGGGAAGAAACAACAACATCAAAGTACTTGGATTTTGAATTCTATATCCAAAAAATTTATCATTAGCATCATCTATGCTGAAAGGGTTGCAAATACATGGAAAGACCTTCAAAACCAATTCAAATAGCACAGTGACCCAAAAAATACCTATTAAAGAAAGATCTAATTGGTATTACACAAGATACTATGACTGTCACACAATACTTTTCTCGTCTCAAAAGTATTTGAAAAGAATTAAAAGAGTTTCAACTTGCTTGAACTTGTACCTATGGAGTTGATAAGCAACTAATTGAACTCGGCAAGACTACAATAGCATTTTTCATGGGCTCGAATGATGACTATGCACAGGTTCGTAGTCAAATTCTATTGCTTGATCCCTTCCCTTCCATTACCAAAGTATTTTCTCTTATTACACAAGACGAAAAACATAAAGAACTCGATCATAACTCTAATTTAGTAGACTCCCAAATGGTCTTTACTATAAAAAAATATGTCTTCCAACTTCCAAGCCATCTGTTGATACCCAATCCAAGGTTTCCAAGAAGGAAAGACTTGTGTGTTCCCACTGTTGTGTCATAGGACATACCATGGATAGATTTATAGAATACATAGTTACCTTTATAGTCATCCAAAGTCCAAGACATTCAACATAGTTATTGTTGTATCATAGGACATACCAAGCTTTTTACTACTCACACTGTTAATCATGTATCTAAAACAAACAATGACTCCACTTTTTCAATATCCATTGATCAATATCATTATCTCATTTCTCTACTAAACAATCACATAACTCAAGTTAATAAGCTTCCAATCATTGATGGTAAACCTTCTACATCTATTGGTATCACCTTATTTACTTTTTCACATTCTTATGTTGTTAACTATTTTTCTCCACATTCTTGAATTATTGATTTAGATGTTACTAGTCATATTATTTGTTCCTTACAATATTTCATTAATATTCACCCAACAAATAATTTTTTTGTATCCTGCTAAATAAAATTTGATTTCTGTTCATTTAGTTGGATCTGCACAATTGACCAATGATTTAATTCTTTATGATGTGTTTTATGTCTCTTTCTTTGTTGTGAATCTCATTTCACTTAACTTTTTAATGAATAATCTAATCTCTCAATTTTTTTTTATTTTGATTCTTTTTCATTATATAATAAATCACTGAAAACGATTAGTAAGGGTAGACTACAACAAAAAATTTATATTTTTGACTAACACCTTTAAAATTTTCTTCTCATGCTAAAACACATATTATTGTTTTTATGAAAATTTTAGTTTCATGTTCCTCATAATTTCTTCTTTGTACCTCACATTACATGTCCTTTATCTAAACAAAAAGATTGCCCTTTGTATCAAATAATCATTTTACAAATAATCCTTTGATTTAATACATTATGATATACACACACTTTCCTTCAATGGAAAAAGATATTTTTAACATTAGTTAATAATAATACTATATTTACTTAGATATTTTTAACACAAAACAAAATAAAGTTGTCTAACACATTCAACACTTTTTTCAACTAGTATAAACTCAGTTTCATACCACTATAAAAATTATTAGAATAGATAATGCAAAAGAACTTGTTTTAACAAATTTTTTGCAATCCAAAGGTACTCTTCATCAATTTAGTTGTGTAGAACAA